TTACAACGTCCACATTTCTTTTATTTTATCATTTTTTCGTTCTTAGCGCTCCTCCGCTGTGGCCTCTGCTGAGCTTCTTGTTTATCCTCCTGTTGCAGTCGTCTCCCTTGGCACTGACCTTGCGATTGCAGCATCATGTGAACGGAAAGTGGCCCAGGCCAGGCGTTGGCAACATTTTTTTTGCTGCTTTCTGATTGTGTGGTCAAATTAATTTTATTTGATGTTGCTGAAGCTCTTTACATGCGTGAAATGGTTTTTGCAGTGAGGCGAAGTGAATGCATGTAGAGAGAGCGAGTGAGAGAGTGAGAGAGAGAGAGAGAGACAGGAGACAGTGGGAAAGGAAGAGAGAGAAAGATGTATAGAGAGAGAGAGAGAAAGAAAGAGATAGAGATAGAGAAAAAAGAGAGAGACAGAGAGAGATGGAGCGAAAGACAGAGAGTTGCTATAAAGCTGTATTCCACAGTTCATGTAATCGTGAAAAAGTCCAATATCTATAATTTAAAAGGAGCCTTTCTTTAATTAAAATCGAACTAATACTCATTGATTGATTAAATGATTTTCTTACTGATTTGGTTAGTTTATTAAATGTTAACTTCAATCAAGAAATCAGCATTGACTAATTGATTCATTATTGCTGATCCATGCTGTTTCGTTATTCGCGTTCTCTAATTTCCCCAGTGGAATAAGTGTTTATATGAACAACTTAGTTGGAACTGGTAGACTGGCGTGCTATGCGACTCGTAGGTAGGTTTCAGATATTTTCGAAATTTTAATTGCGTTGTATAACTTATAAATAATATCTAAAAACAACAACTAACTTCGAACTGTGTGTTTTTTTTTATGTGAAGATCAGCTGCTAGACTGAAAAGATTATGTTGGGCGACCAAGCAAGACTAAAACAATTTTCAACAACTATATCTCCGCAGTTGTTAGAGTTATCGCCCACATTTAGATGGCAAAATATTTATTACCTTTTGCCATTATTGTGGTAAGTTAAGTTTTGTCTACTAATTGTGCACAAATAATAAAAAATTGTGCTTAAACTGCAGCTCAGCTTAACAAAATTGCTTTTCTCTCTTAGCCCAACGGCAGAGCGAGATTGAAGCATACATTCCACGATTCAGCCAGCTAAAGAATCCTGCTGAGTGATAGGATTGAAAATATGGATACGGAAACGGATATGGAAATGGAAATGGAAATGGAAGAGTTGTGGTACCACGTGCTATGTGCTGGCTGTGTATTAATTGTTAAGCTGCAGGCCAACCAGTTTCACACGGCCACACACTCATTTCACGGCACAGCAGAGCGTCCATAGTCAACAGGCCGCTGCCCACAATCCCGCCACCCACGGGCCGCGTGACTGCATGGAAGCGTCGCCGATGGCATTGAGTGCATGTTTGTCCTTGTGTGTAGGGAGAGAAAAGGAACTTTTGTTTGGGGCCTTTGAATGGGGCTGCTTTGCCTCGTCCACAACTCGTATTTCATGTTTATCAATGGCTCTTGTTAATCGTGTGCCGCACGAACGCCCGCACAATTGGATGGGGCGTGGCTAGTCAGAAGAGTCACAATGATATCGTTTGACTCAATTATCAATTTGCATGAGCCAATTAAAGCGTGGACGTTGACAAAAGGGTCAAAGACAAGAAGAACCTCGACCCTAAGACTTGGCCGTTGATTTTCACTTATTATTTTACGGCTGGAAATGGCAAATATCAATAATACACACACGCATGCAAGATATGCAGCACAAAATGGCGTCACATGTCACACGCAGGCAAACAGAGCTTGAGTAAGGGAAATATTTGCATACGAATGAAATGAAATGGAATTCACGCATATCGCAAGACGCCGCCTCATCGCATATAAATTGCGAACGTTGTGTGGGGTTTTTGGGGCGTTCAGTTTTTAATATGTTGATTCATCATCATTCATTGCTACGGCAGAGTCCACGCAAAATAACAGCAAATTCGCTGTTGCTTAAATTCTTACGCAGTTTTTCATGACTCCATCATAAACCTTTCACTTCACAATACAATGGGCGGCTCAATATGTTCATAAACTTTACAGAATCTTGCAAATTCCCAACAAATGTGTGCTTTGCTCATGTTCGTATTGAGCAACAAATTCCGGTACATGCTGGTGTGACACTTGAAATTTTACCAAATTTTTATAGCATACTTTTATGCGCGCGGCAAATAAAATACGTATACGCCGCAAAGCCCCGCCGGTCATAAATGTAATTGCAGCCTGCAGGGAGCACGTGTGTGCGTGTGTGCGTGTGCGTGTGTGTGTGTGTTTGTGGGTGCAACAGCTTGAATCTTTATAGCTAAATTTATGTACGACTTTAATATTTCAATGCGCTCAAAGTGCACAAGCGTCTTGATGATGACAAACCAATCAACAGAGATATAAATATATTTCTAGAGAGAAAGGGAAACAGAGTTAGAGAGGGAGCGGGGGAGACTAAAAGCAAGCGGGTGCCACACACTGTTGTCCTTGTCCCAGCATCAAGCATCACAACATTATACCCTCGATGCGCTAATCTTTTTGTCTATTTCTGTAGCTGCAACCAGGCCACATGTTGAGCTGCTTCTGCGGCTGCTGCTGCCATTGACGCATTTCATCGTCACCTGGGAAGCAGCAGCAGTAGCATGACTAAGCTAAGATGATGATGTCGATGATGATGATGATGACAGTTGATATGCAGAAGTCTTTGTGTGTGACAAGCCGACCCTTAATTGAAATCTAAGTGAGCTTTCCACTGAACAACTTGTCGAGGGAGTCAGCGCCCACTTACGACAAAAGACAGCAACACTCAAATGTGGTGAACAACAATTTGAGAAACAACAAGAATTATTCACAATTCCCCTAAGCTATTTCATTTAATCATATAATTTGTACATTTTATTGGAAATTATATTTCGTATCAATAGAATTTAAGCAAATACAGCTGAGGTGAACTGTGATTACTTCAGCACACAAAATTAAGGCGATTGCAAGCTTTGCATACTCGAAGCTGTAATCCGCAAAGCCTAATGCGATTTGTGCTAATTGCAGGAGACGTTTTAAGGAGCTGTAGCTGCACTTTCATTTACATTCTTCAGTTACGATTCGCATCATTTTGCTGGCAAAAGGGAGTCAACGTGCAGCGGCGCCTGGCAACGCCAATTAGTCAGCCCAATCAACGATGCAATGCAATACGAGCATGCAACATGTGCATAAATCCACTTGAACCTTCCTCCTCACTCTCTCACTCTCCTTTACCATCTCTTATGACCAAATGTAATCGGAGGCAACACCTGTTGCAGGCATCAGAAAAGTCTCATTCTGATGAAACGATGCAGCAAATTCTCCGACTTTTAAATTTGTCAAGCTTGCATGTAATTAAGGTTTTTCGTGAAAGAAGGTTAGTTGGCCACCTACATATAATTTCATGCAGATCCATATAGTTTGAGTGAGTTAATTTGAAACCAACATATTTTTTAAGTATATACTCTGAATGTCCTTTTCTTGCAAATAAATTTACAAGCTGCAAGCAGCGCTCCTCGGCTTGACCCAATTCCAATACTCTGCTCAAGCCAAGCGCTGGCGTTAACTAATAAGATTGCTCTTGTGTGCAGTACATGACTAAAAGCTACCCTGGATCAGATTTTGAAACATGCTTGTGAATTTCCAGCGTTAAATATGTGTCAAATTTGATATTGCTAAGTATTGAGGGGCTTCATTCTACCTAAGAAATCCAAGCAGAAGTATTATCTATTTTTGAAAATCGGAATGAGATATCGGAATTACAATTTCTACTTTTTCATGCAGATGATGTAACAAATAGAAAAATTGACATGAGTAGATCTACTCGATTATATATTTGTATATATATACATATATGTATATCCGGTGTACAGTACCCTAAAATGCCTTCAGCAGTTGAGAGGGCATACAAATGCTTAAAGAGAACTTTTTAATTTGCTGTGTCAAGCAATTGGGAAACGTTCTTGGATCTGTGTACGCCGAGTTGCGCGGCGAGTTGGGTTCCGTAGCAACTTCTAATTGACAGCGGTACACACCAAGAATTATTGCCCTAGAACTCATCCTGCTGGCGATAGGCGGTACAGTGAGCTCGGGTCGTGTCCATGAATGGCAGCACTTAATTCGACAGCTTCAAAGATTTATAAACGTTGTCGGCCTGACAAACGCTGATGAATTGCCCAATGCGACAATGCTGTGTGGGTGGATGGATAGATGCTTGGCTGGTTGGCTGGCTGGCTGGCTGGGAAGTTAGTTTCCGTGAGTTTGACTTTGTGTCCTTTTTAATTAAAATTAATATGATTTGATTTCGAACCAACAGTTAATTAGCAGAAGCGCATTTTAATTAGCGGTTCGCCCCAACTAATCAAGGCTACCAAATTCTATTTGCAATTATGTTTATAATTTTTGGTTACCATCATCATCAACCAGCATCATCATCATCATCAGCATAATCATATTCCAATTAATAGCATCCTCTGCAGCGGTCACGTCCGCCTATGAAATTCATTTTGTAATTTTTTTTTTTTGGGTAGTTCCGCAAATAATTAACTTAATTTTTTGAATTCTCGATTACTGAAAACAATCATTTTATATTTTCTTAAGAAAAAATAAAAAATTATAAAATGATTTAAATATATTTGTATGGAAATATATTTAAAATGCTTAAAAATTCCAACAAAAAATATAAAAAATATATTTAATGCTCAAATTTTTTAACCAAATATGTAAACATTATTTTTATTGAGTGCAACAAATAGAATATGTTTAAACGCCATAATGCCTAACAGCATGTTAACTGAATTCGTGTGGTTAACATAAAAGTGTACTGTTATGCTCCAAATGGCACTGCCAATGTACAGAATTATGAAGAATTCGTATTTTTTGCTGTTTAACTGCCAGCAAAGTTATCGATAAGACGCGCCATTTGAAGCAAATGTATGCCATCGATAATTCAGAAACAAAAACGAAGCCGAATGAGGCGGACGTGTGACGCTCGCGCGCGCATCATTTTGCATCAGTGCCGCAAAATGCGCGCGTGTTTCAGTTTCAGTTCGTGCTGTCATTTGTTGCTGATGGCCAAGTGAATGTGTTTACAATGTTTGTCCGTTGTTTCCTTTAAATGCAATTGTACTCAAATAAATACTTAAAGCAACTATATTAAATAGTAATATTATTTAGTCAAACTACAAACTAGACAAAACTGCAACGGCAACAATAACAATAACAATCAAAACTAAAAACTGAACGTGGCTGCTGAGGGACGTGCGATAAGAACGGCAACAACAACAATTGCAATTCGCCGACTTCTCTCACTGCAACAAAAACAGCAACAACAACTATAACAAGAGAAGTGTGTGTGTTTTTATTTTAGCTGCATTCTTGCCAGCGTCGCTGCAACTGCGTTAACGGCGACAGCGACGGCGGCGACGACGACGACCGCAACCGCGACTTCGTCGTTGAAAGTTTGGAGTCCCAGAAACATCCAAAACGTGGTTTCAAAGTAATTAATCTATTTATATATTTTAGCATATGCATAATAATAGTAATAAACAAATATTGTAATAATAATTGCATTTGTTCGTGTTGTTTGTTCATTTTTTTTACTGTGCTTGTGCTGTGTGTGTTGTGTTGTGTTGTGTGTTTACCTCTTAATTAGTTTACCTGCGACACGCTTTGTTGTTGTTTTCTGTGTTTGCGTGTGTTTATGTTTGTGTGTGTTATTGGTGAGTTGATATGTTTACCTTTTTGCTTTTGTTTCTGTTTTTATGTTTGTCGTTGTATTCGTGTTTGCTTCTCTTCACAGTTAAGCGGATCAAAAGACAAGCATACAACATCAACAACAACACATTTTAAAATGTTGCTCATTTTGCATTCGTGCCTTGTGTTTTTGTTTTGTTGCATTCTACACTTCCCGACGCCGACTGCAGCAGCAGCAGCAGCAGCATGAACGACAGCAGAAAACATAAACTGCCAGCCGAAGCGACGATCGCTTGCTGCCTGCCTGCCAGCTCTTAGCTCTCAGCTCTCAGCCACGGTTGCCACTTGAGCGAAATGTTTTGTACCAACGAGGACAGCACATGTACCAAATACGTTGAAAATGTACCCAATCTCCACTCAAGTAAAACAAATAAGTTTCGAGCAGGATTCTTTTCAGCTTTGAATTTATTTTTATATCATTTATACATAATAAAATAGTTACTATAAGAAATGTACTCGCAATTAAAAAATATATAACTTTTAGTTTTTTTTAAATAATTTTCGTGAATTTTACTAATTCGACTTAAACTCAATTCCATTCAATCAAATTTAAATAGATTCCATATTTGAGTTGAAGTCATTTTTTCAAATGCTTGTATAGTTTTTGTGCCCAAAAGATGATGTGCCACTTTTGGTACATTTTCTTTTTCTGAAATATGTGGCAACTCCAAACTCTCAACGATATATTCGCTATTCTCCGCTCTTCTGTTGCTTCTCCTTTGGAATTTTTGGCTTGTTTTCTTTTTACATTTTAAAGCTCTGAGAACTTGAAGTGTCTCATTTGTGATCTCTCCTTCGCTCGGTTTGTGGGAACTGTTTAAGCCTGCACCTGGGACAGTTAGTCTCTCGCTAGTGCACTGTGCAGACACTTAGCCATAAACATTTCCTTTTTTCCAAATGCATTAAATGCATTTTATGGTCGCCTCGTGCGTTGCAAGTCGTTAACAATGCCTGGCCACGCCTTTGCCGCCCCAATTTTTAGTGGCGCTATAGACACTTGACCATTAAAACATGGAAACTAGCTGCGCAAGCCAACAGAGCAGAAAACCAACAAGCCACAAGCCAATTTACCGCCTGCAGCAAGTTGGCAACAACATCGATGCCAATATCGAAATTGTGTGTGTCGGATGCGACATTGCGTCTGCCTGGCAGCTTGCCGCCTGCTGCTTGCTGCTTGATGCCCTGCTGCCTTGCGTTGCATACTTGTAATATCCGTAACGTCTTTGCTCAATATGGTAAACATAAAAATATGAATCCAATAACTGTAATTCGCTCTTACAACTACGCACAGTACAAAGCCCTAAAATCAAATTCGATTGCGGCTTAAATCAAATTTGCTGCACTGTAGTGCGAGCCATGAAGCTAGCGTATCGGACGACTTTACTCCAAATTCTTTTAGTGCTTTGTATAATATGATCAGCTCTTTGTCTTTGAGCTCCAGCTAAAATATAAAAATTAAGAAGATTTCCTAAGTTAGTTTTTGGGAAAAAGTCCAAGATTGTTTGGGCTTACCTATGTAAACACTTGTCAATATAGAGTTTTCCAAGTTTCAGCATTTGTGGATTCTTTCGATTAAAATCGATATCAACTTAGATCGATCGATTCTTCTAAAGTTGATATACGCATATGACGAGTATAACACTTTGGCGAAAGCAGTTCAGATCTGGCCTGATCTGACCCGAGCTGACTATTGAGTCGTTCACTCCCGCTCCCGACTCTCGTACCCATTTCTCGCTACGATTCGGGCATTGCAATTCCATTGGCATGAACTTGTTAGTTTTTTATAATCATTTCTATAGAAACGCTCTAGCTTTCGATATTTATGACGTCTTCGGAGCGTGCACGTGCATAGGAGACATTAGATAATTCACGTAGGTTTGCCGTACTTGTTTTCGCTCAGTGTACTAGCTGACGTAGGTTTGCAGTGAACTGGTGAGTGCATTTGCAGTTATGTGCAATATCGTATAGAATTTCAATACCACGAATACGCTTGACGTTTGACAAACCAAGCGTTGAGGCGTACGAGGTGGGTGGACTTCTGGGCGGGCGTCGCTGTGGATCCACTTTATGGTGGAGCACACAGCTGTTCTCTTACGTAAGCATATCTCAATATCAAACAATGTCGCTTCAGCTATTTATGAGGGTAGCGTTGCAAATGCGAGTGGATCTTCTCCATCTGTAAGTCGTACGACAACAATTATGGTATCAGCACTACAATGGAAAGTGTTCAAATTCTATTCTCTGACACTGTCCGCTGCTCACGTTTCAAACTAACTTTGAATATTTCTATTGTGTTTGCCATTCGCCTTTGTTTTAGCACTTTGTCAACTAATTTTATACCCGTTCACAAAGTGCAAAAGTTTATAGCTTTTTCTCCATATCATTTACAGGTCTATCTGAAGAGGAAAACCTATAAATTCTTTTCAATATAATTTATGGTTATTCCGTCAAAGATAGCCACGTAAATGGTATGGAAAGTACAAAAATATCGACAGGCATCGATAAATGCGGCTATTTTTGGAGTGTAAACGATTTTGTATAATAAATTAGATAATATATACTAAAAAGATCATAAATCGAACGTGGAAGCGACTAAAAATATACAAGTCAAGCCAAACAGAAGCGAGCCGGTATTAAAAACTATATATAATTTGGCTTCTGGATTAGTTTTTATTAAAAAAAATTAAATAAATGTAATGTACTGTAAATCAGGAAGTTGATAAGCATTAGCGATCCGCACTTAACATAGTATTTGCAGCTCAGTGTTAACTAGAGATAACATAGGTATGTTAAGTGAAATATAGTTAACAGCTGTTCATTCCTTTTAGCTAGATATCTGAAAAAATATATTGGAAAAGTGATAAATTTTTTCAATTTTTAACGATTTGATAAAAACGCATTGACCTGTTCAGGGGAGTTTTTATTGTTTTGTTTTTTTTTTTTTTTAAGTTTATCTTTATTGCTTGTTGCTGTCGCTGTTAATTGTGTGTGGGAGTTCCCCGTGCTCGAGTGAAGGGCTGAAGTCTTTGGGGAAATACCTTCAGGCTAAGGCCGGTCAGCATGTAAGCCATTTAAAGTGACAATATTAATGCAGCAATGCAAGTGAGAAACTAAGACAGCAGATGGAAAAGCAACAGAGATAGAGAGAGAGATGGAGAAAAGGAAAACAACGCATGGGACTTACCAAGCAGCATTTTATTATTGTTTTTCCTTTCGGGGTTTCCTGCATTTTTGGGTTTTTTTGTGCGCTGCTTATGCTGAGTTTCGAAGTTCGTGCCATGGAAAATTGCTCCTGCTCCTTTCGTCTGCCCTGCCCGACCTTTTATTCATAAGATCGCAATTTGAAACAACAACTTATTAGTTAAAGTCAACGACAGAATTCATTTACCTAATGTATATTACGTTTTGATTTAATCTGGTGTTGGTGTTGTTGTTGTTGTTTGTGTTGTTGTAGCTGCCGCTGAACTTTTAAATTACTCGTATAAAAATTTATGATTTATATACGCATTATACACACACACACACGCACACACAGAGGCTGAGAGACGCACGCGTTTAAGACCAGTTTCAGATTCCGAGCTTGACGCTGAAAATCTCTCGAAAATTTCCGAAGCGTGAAGCGACACCAACAACAGTCGCAGCAGCAGCGGCAGCGACGTCAACATCGACAGCGACTGCCAGAGCCGCTGCAAAAACAGCTGTTCCGCTACGAACTTGAGGCAAAGTCAAGCGTTGTTGTTGTTGTTGTTGTTGCTGCTGCTGCTCGTTCTCGATCAGCATCGAGTTGTCCAGCCGTTCAGATCGTTGGATGTCGCTTTTTGGTATGATTCAGTTAGCGACTTAGTTGTTTTTAGCATACTCTAAGCAAAGTCCTTTAACTACGCTACGCTCCATGTGCGTGTGTAGATTGATCTCTCTCTAATAAGTTATATACAGATAGATCTCTTAAAGGGACACGCCTCAAGCAAGGCAAAGCAAATGAAATATTTAATGCAACTTTCAAATGTTAAGCTCCAGACTGCGAATTCAGCTGAGATCATTAAAGTTGAGATCATTAAAGTTGTTCATTATATGCAAGTTCAGTGATTAATGGGATTCTAAGTAAGCTGACGTTACGTTGGTCCAAAACTAAGGCATGTAACGCGAAGTTTATGTTCCGAACATGAATAATTGAAATCCAATAAAGCAAATATCAAATTTATATAGAAAAAAGATCATTGAACTCTATAAGAGTTGTTAAGTATACGAATTGCACTCCAGTAGGGTGAAAGGGGCTTTTTCACTCAATATATACATATATATATATATATATATATATATATATATATGTAGGTAGAGCATACAAAATTGGTTATATTAACTGAGATTCTGCATTAGCTCTGGGCATATATGGTTATTGTTGTTGTGGTTGTTGCTGTATGTTTCTTGCTCTATCTGGTTGTTGTTGTTCTAACCCAATTGCCCGGAGCTGAAGTCCGGACCGCCTCTCGAATTGTATCTGAATCTGAACTGACTGAAATCTGTGACTGTCACTGCGACTGCGACTGCGACTGCGGCTTTGAGCCAAGGTGACGTAATGCCAACGCCTAAAGTGGCTTTTATACGCTTCAACAGATCAAGTATCAATTACAAATCATTCACAAAGAGCCCCTGGCAAAAACAATTTCGCTTTGTGGGTCATCCATTTGACTTGACTTTGACTTTGACTTTGAGTGGGCAGTTTATCCTGCGTGAGGAGCTGGC